TACTTCAAAATCCTGGGATAAAAGATGCTAAGGAATGATGGAGAAACTTGGTGGTCCAACCGCTGGGGTCTTCTGCCACCTCTGACTGAGGAGCATCTTGAATGAAAAGTGAGTTTGTTTACGAGTATGAGCCACCCCTACTTCTCCTTCAAATCAGGTTTAATGCTACAGAGAAATACTTTGGAGGAGGAAGTCTTTCCACGCTCAACTAGATGCCCTCTCGTTCTTGAAGTGCACAGGGCCAGACTTTCAAAATTATCTGAAACAAATCAGACCTGCTGCCCACCAATTATCAGTGAGCATTATTCCAAAACTGGGACTTGAAAAAAAAAAAAAAAAAAACATAGATGACATTTTCATGCTGCTCTTTTGTGGCTTTTATTTCCTTCTGTTATTCACTTTGGGAATAGCATTCTTTCCATTGGGAAGAGGCCGATTTTCCATTAAATATAAAGCAGCTGCCATATTGGAAACAAAAAGCTGATTAAACGCAGATTTTTTTTCCTAACGTATACTCAAAGAGCTAGAGCCATGTTTATTTTTTAAAAACTACCCTTATTACCTTAATTGGCAGATGCTTTGCCCCAAGAAATCAGCAGGAAGAGATTATACAAAATTGCAACATCTTTATTATAGGATCTTAAACAAAATCTATGCATTAAGCACAAGGTGAAAGACTGACATCATTTGAGAACCACACTGCGTACCCAAGCCACACAGCAGACTTTTATACATATAAAAACATAAGTGGTGGCACCAAAAGTTTCCTCATACATTGCTGCTGCTAATGTGACTAGTTCAACTCTGCTATTTATTCAGGTTTACAAACTGTTTGCTGAGACCACCGAACACATCGGAGTGCAGAACCACAGGCTCCTGGAAATGGGGCTATGACCTGGACTTCAGTCATTAATGCAGAAGTGACTCAAACTGGTGAGTTAGCAGAACCCGCCCCCCCCAATATCATTTCCAATCCCATCTGACAGATGTCAGGGGACTTGATTATAAAGGAACAGCGACCAGTATGACAAGTGCACATGTTGGCTTATTTTGCATTTGTTGCAACACCCAACGCACAAATTCAAACCTATCTTAAAACATCTAAGGGTTAGATGGGAAAGCAAGAGACAGCTACTGTCATTAGCAAAGGGATTTAGCCCGGTGTTTGATAACACACTGGTTCTGTGTTGCCACTTACAAAACACGACAATTAAAGGTCTTTAATCTTGAGAATGGAGCTAAATCTGTAAGGACCTGTACTTAAGGGCTTTACATTTGCCTCTATTGATGTTATTATGGCCTATCGAGACTGTACGTTGTCTGAAGAATGGAATTTTTAGGAAATGCCATACACAATGATGATGTTTTATGTTTAATTGTAGTCATTGCTGTAGAGCTAACTAGCATTGTATTTGAGCACTCAGACTGCCGTTGAAAAGAATTCAACTTAAAAATAGCAGAAGCTCATAACATTTCCAGCGCAGCTGCAACTCGCAATACTCTGAAAAGGGATTCCAGAAGTAGCAAAGGTAAATCCGTCGCATTTGAAGATTTTTGCTCCTTCCTTGAAGGCAGGTGGGTCTGCTCTTGTGGTTACATTAAGCAAGGCAGCGAGGGGCCTTTGAAGCAGACGCGGTGTTAATCAGCATTCCTTTTCACAGTCACAAGTTAAAGAGGAGACTTACAAGATCGAAATGAAGGAAAAGCAGATAATTGCAAAGTCTATTGTACTTGAGCCTAAAGGGAAAACATGCTTTAACGTCTAATAGGGCTCCTGGAAGGTGCCTGCTGGAGCTTTGGTGCAGACAGTTTTCAATCCTTACCTTTACTGATGGGCTTTCTAGTGCCAATTTCAATGCTCCACGCAACTGCTTTTTTTTTCCCCCCCTCCTATTGCAAAGGTTTAAGCACATTATAATTTTTCTAAATCCAAGCCTGCAGAGCCAACCTAAAGCCAAGCATGCCAGTGTAACCAAAGGAATAGAAGCAACACCTAGGTGAGTAGGCACATGCTGGTTTAAAGGATTTATGGCACAGGGCATGTTGGCTTCAATTACTGTTCAGAGTGTTGAAAGCACACAAAAAGCCATGTAATTACAAGATAACTCAGCTTACCCAACCTCTAGTTAACCAACCCTCCCCTGGGTTAACCAGAGGTCAGGCTCCTCACCAGTCAGCAATGCGCACCAAGCATTAACATCTCTGCTGCCCTTCATGCTTGTCAAGGTTTTGGGTTTTGAATACTCTCCCAAAAGCACGGGGAAGTAAGGCACAGCCATCAAACCAGCACAAGGCAGGCAGCCCAGGACGGCATGTCCATGCAAGCAATCCCGTCCCTGTTCACCGCCTCGGTCTCTCCTGACTAGAGCCGGCTGGGTTTGCAGGGTGGTTTGTCCAAGCCCCTACGGGACTGGCTCTGTACCATTATCAGTCAATAAGAGCAAGATTAGGCCCAGCAGAGAAGTGCTATGAACACAGCAGAGATTTCAGGAACAGCCCTTGGCCCCATTTTTATTAGATTAATAGTCACAAATTATAATCTCATTTTTTCATTGTTATCAAGTGCACAAACATGTTATATATTCAGGCTATAAAAAACATCATAAAACCTAGTTGGTAACTAAGTTAAGACATGCTTTTTTCCCCCACCCCCAATGGGCAAGAAGAACATTTCTAATGGGATGGCTGGACCACAAATATTACCACTATTACGCCCTTACACTTTAAATCTGGTTACAGTGCCCTTGTAGCGAAGCAACTTCATAGTATCGGACTTCATTTAAGAAAAAAACCAATTAAAAAAATGCACAACGTGATCCACTTGACCAATTTGTTCAAAAGATGTAGGGGACAAAAAAAGGATTAAAATGAAAATAAAATCTGTAACAGTTAAAAAAAAAAAAAAAGACACTTGGGAAAGTCCCACCATAAAAAGGGATTATTTCACTGCTCACTTTCCAGGGAACCTACGGAAATTATTTTTCACCGATTTGGACCAATGAAACAAATGCACCCCTCTCCATAGGAAGCCGACTCCATGTCTAGGCACTGGATTACATTAAAAACAAACAAACAAAAATACTAAAAAGGTACATCTGGCTTCTGGATTGTGGAAGTTGTGAAGAGTCAGAAGCCAGACTTCTTTTTATATTTGTGTCCTTCACAGTGTCCTGAAGATAATCACCTGGGAGAGTCCAAATACACAGCAGGACAATGTCCCCGATCCCGGGAAGGGGGTGTTAATGCAAGGCACCCCTGTCCTGCAAAAGGCAGAGCACGCAGCTTCCCAGCACTCGCACTCCCTGCCAGCACCAAGGGGGAGTGACTGGGACCAGGAGGCGAGCCATAGCTTTGATGGAATCGAGCCTCAAATTGCTTTAACAAACCGCTTTCTTTTCAGAAGCTGGCATTGATTTGAGACCTCGATGTTGACTTAGAAACCCCCAGGTGTCTGAAGCCTGTACGCACCGAAGACAGTGCTATGCTCAGTTTCCAGGAAAAGGAATATGCACACCCAACTGCATCATGAAAATGTCAATACTACTGAAACAGCCCCAGAGGCAGCTTTAATAAGGAGCATGGGTTAAATGCAGAAGCTTAGAAGCCGAGTTAAATACTACAGATTAACATATACTATCTCGCGCCAGTAGAGCAGAATTGAGTCTACAGAAATGAGGTGCACTTGTTAACACGTGCCTTGGCTTGCAGACACTGGAGTAGAAAAAACAAGGTAGCTAGAGTGTACTTTGTTTGTGATCTATCCATGAAAATGCCTTAGCTTTTCTACTGAACATGAAAACAAGCATAAATGACAACAATTAGAGGCATTCATTGAACCAGAATGCAGGTCTGCAAGGTCCGCTTTGCTTTCTTTGGACTAATTGCCTTAATCCAAATAGCGTGATAGCAACATCAAGAACTTGCACTACTCACTGAGAAACTATTCCAGCAGTACAGCCAGAGGGGAAGGCTGAACGGTCTAAAGCATCAGATTTGGAACTAGCAGAGGGAACCTCAGGTTCAAATCCCAGCAGCACTAACTCAGCCTGTCATCCCCGAGAGGGAGAAGAGTTTGAGCAGTACGCTGTTTGCAGGGTACGCGGGAGCAGCACTTTCAAAAGATCTCAACTAAAGCCCCCTCTGCTCTGAGCAGACTGTCAAAACCCCCTGGTGCTTTGCTTTCCCTAATGACGGGAATTTGTCCCCGTTTCTTTGGCCAGATGCTGCCGATCACCATTACTGTGGAAGGGAGCAGGTAATAGGTGCACCCCAGGGGTGGCCGCCTTTCAGTGGCACCATATAATTTATACAGCACTTAGGGATGCATGGGAATAAGAGGCATGATTGAAAAGAAGATTATTATTGTTATTAGCTCAACAGTTCAAAATGTACTTGCATGTAGTATGACGACCCTGCCCCTTGGTGCCAGTTCCCTGTACTGCCATGACCCGTTACACGGGGAACGGCAACCAGGACAAAACTTGGCCTTTTGCTCTGAGCTCAAAGGAGCTGACAGCCAGCCTCCCAGTACATGCCAACTCCAAGCCGTGCGGATGGCCTTTGGAGCAAGCTGCCTCTGATACGCCTTAGCTAGAAGGTTTGCTATGGCTTTGGAAAAAAGGTAAGGGATGCTGACGGACTAGATTTAATGGGCGATAGCTCTGAAGTCGCTCTTTATAAAAAGGATGCTGCATCAATACTTCACATACTTAAACAGGGAGCACCTCGCCTGTTGGGAAGCCTGCTTTTCCACAGCACCCCTGGATGCTCTATTTACTACTTTTCTTTTACTTTTCTTTTGGAAACTGGTGGAGGAAAGGCTGTACGTTCTACCAGAGTCAAAGGGGTTAAATGTCTTTTCCAAGACATTTGGGTTCAGCTTTCTTCCCTGTTGCTTCCTCCCTTCCCAGAATAAAGACCTTTTCTGGTTCAAATAACCCTCTAATATTTGAACTGCGAGCTGAGCATACCGAAGGCATACAACACACAGTCATACTCACCGACATTGTAGAATGGGCATCTACATCCCCCTACAGAGGACAACACAGGGAATTCAAATCAGAAGCATAAGAGAGCAAAGGAACAGTGTGAAAGGTAGGGAGGAGAGAGGGGTTCAGTAGCACACTGGTTAGCACTGATAAAGTTTACTCTTTAAACAAGACTATCACGTGTTGCTGAAGAACTCAACAGTGCATTTAAGTAGCTGGATACGATCATTTAAAAGGACTCTCCTTTTTCCCCATGGGAAGTCAAAAAGGACTTGTCAGGTCAGCACAGGGCAAGGTACCAGAAGATCAGACTTCTATTCTGGGCAGTGAAGTTAACATACTATGCAATCATGACAGTCACAGTCCATCTGCCTTGGTTTCCCCATCTGTAAAATAGATGCAATGCTTACCAGCCTCACAGACATACTTTGAGACTTAGTTTTCTGGTGCTTATTAAATGGCATACCGGTATTTGGAAATCTAAATATTGAGTTGCAGCTTACCGAGATTATAGACATGGTGTTCTACTTTCCTGCCTGATGATAATCTTCTCCCTCCCCCTGCTAAAATAAAACTAAGCTTCCTGACCCAAACAGCGAACACCCTGGTTACTGTAAAGCTCTGCACCATTTTCCTTCTTTTAACATGTCATGGAGGCAATGTTTCACCTACTAAAGACTCAACACAGGTCAGTGTTTTCTTTAAAAAGGAAAAAAACCCCAAAACAAATCCCAACATTTCTATTAAAGCTTGCTCACAAATACATGAGTCGTCAGGGTCACTGTGCTTATTTGCAACATTGAAGAGACATCGATACAGTTAATAAAGCATTGGGCAAACCGTTCCAAGGAACGAATCCTTGGAGTTTACATAGTTCCAGCTGAAATCTGTGTCTGCCATCTGGCAAAAAATGAGCACAAAGGAAAAATCTCCCTGTGCAAAGAGTTCATGCTCGAGACGGAAGAGGTTCTACTTTGCCCGGCTGCTAAAAGATTACTTCCCCTTCCCAGGTCACCGTAACCTCTCGACCTCCCCCGATTACCTTCCAGAGAAGGTTATCAGGATACAAGACTAACAGAGGATTAAAGGAAACCTAAAATAAAAACAAAAGCACACCCCTTTCCCCACTCTTCCCCCTCTCCAGCTTTCGCTCCCCCCTCACCCTTCCCAAAACAACATCCTTGCTTTGTTAACCTGACAGTTCACGGTAGGTGTTGACACAGCTCTCCATCTTTGAAAAGCTTAAAGTCAACAAATCACCATGTTTGGAGTAGCCTTGTCAATGCAATTTACATTAACTTGTCCAATGAGAAATAGAAACAACAGTCAGCCATCGTGGACAAAAGGCCGTTTCATTCGCTCCCTTCCAACCCTTGTGCACCAATTATTAATCTATCCCAACCACAGCCCTTCACCCACCGAAGAGCAAGGAAGAGCCCCTTTCCTTTCTGATGCATTCAAGTTCTTAGCCTCCGCTGGCAAAGCAGGAGAGCGTGCCGCGTTTTAATAAAGGGACAGCAAATTGCAGTTACTAATTCAGAAAGAAGAAGGCCACAGGGCCTCAGGTCTGCCATGCTTTCCTCTCCAATAACACACTATTTGTTTTGAAATGCCGTGAGCACTTAACAGACCATTTTTTAATTGTGGCTGTAAACCACCAAGAAAGTTTTGTGCAGCAGCATAGTGCTACAGTCCCATTTGTTTAACCGTGAACTCTTCACCCTGAAACATGTGCTGGAGGTATGCTGGCATTCTGGATCCAATATGCAGCCCTAAATTTGCCATCTTCCCAAATGAGCAGCAAGTTAGGAAGAACCGCATAGACCTCTTCAAAACAGCCATTCCACCCTGGCCATCAACCTGGCAGTTAGGGCTACGAAGCCCCCATGTAAAGCCAAAAGTGTGTTAACTGTTGAGAGAGAGAAACTAAAAGAAAATTCAAGGATCTAAAAGTGAACAAAAAACTGCTATTTTCCCCACAAATAAACTACCCTTGTTTCAGGCCCTCTTTGCCCTGATGGATATTCAAAACTGCTACCAGCAGCTCTCCTCTCTTGGCCCCACAGAGGTCCAGCTTTTCTCCTGGAAAGGAGCAAGGAAGGAACACGTTTCGAATGTTTGGAAGCCTCCTGTGCCTCCAAGCACGTCGAGTTGTATTAACTATGGCTATTTCCTCACATACCACACGCACCTTTCCCCAAAAACGTATCTTCCAAAATGGGGGTGCATGTCTTAAGTAAGGAAGCCGATGCTTTTCTGCTCGGAGTAGAAGCATGAAGACACTGTCACAAAGCTGCTGCTGCTTTTCCTCTCCCGCACGTCCCTATTCCCTACTCCCCGAGAGGGACAGAGTCCTGTCTTCGGCAGCAGCTGTCCTTTCAACACTTCCACAGCTGAACTGGAGCAGGGACAAAACCTCATCTTCAGCTCACCCTGCCTTCCCTGCTTGGGGAAAAGCAAACAATTCAGCTGGGAAAAAGTTCAAACTAAAAGTTTTTACCTGAACAGGAAAGGGAGGGCAAGTCAGCTGAAGACCAAGCTCTGCCCCATGCAGCTATAAAAGCCTGGGGGAGCGAAAAAATAAATCTTCCTTCTCCCTTCCCCCAAACAAGGTGTGTGTTTTATTAGGAGGTGCATGGTATAAAGAAAATACGGTGATAGTTTGGGTCGATATTGGAGCTCGCTTACAACTACTGTAAAAGCACAGCTCTCCGGCACTCAAAAGCAAGGAGTGAAGCCAGAATCCAACTTGAATCCCAACTTACCCTGTGCATCATGCAAAGTTACTATTCAAGTTTTTCTTTTCCCTCCAGGGGAAATTCTACCTCGAGGCACTCAGATCCTTCAAGGAGATTTGATCTACCTGACCAGAAGCCTTAACCCTGAAGACCTCTGCTACTGCCCCATTAAAGAAGAGAGGACTATGTTACATATATTAAATTACACACACCTTCTCAGGCTCAAGGCTTTGGTCTCAGAGATTTATTATGGGACAGACCAACTTTCTATAACTAGCATGGCCATGCAAAAATCCATAGGCTTAGGCAGGCCAAGCATTTTGCTTGCTGGTCATAGTCATCATTGGAAGAAGCCCATAAGTAGCCCCGACATCTCAGCTGGTGAACTTTTGGGACAACACACTGCTGCTTTAGTGTGCATCATTTAACCCGTTTCTTGCTATTTAAGGATCTTGCGAGTTTGACAGATCGTCCTCTAGTGAACTTTCGTGAGTTAAAGAAAATCAAATATCCTCTACAAACTCTTTTGAGCGAACAGAGTAACCATGATCAGCAGTTTTGGAAAACAACTTAATTGCGTATCCAGAGAAAAGAAACAGGATGGGTGGGAGCGATGGGGAGTTTTCCTGATTAATGTCTCAACTCTGGTTTGCAGGGGCCATTTCAAGGAACAAGAGGACAGCTCACTCTGCACGGACCCGTCCATCCTTTGCATCTTAGGTTGTTAAGTGAACAAACCATAGGTTTTGGAAACAGAACCGAGACTTCACCCAATGCAACAGCCACTCGACCCATATCAAAAGTCTTATGTTACTAATGACCAGGGTTGGATTCAAACCAGCAACCTAGAGGCAACAAGTGCTGCTCTTCCACCACAGTGCCATAAATATCTTCTTCTATATGCTAAAGTTTCATAGTTAGTCTTCCTTATTTCTGTTTCCATTGCCTGTCAAACCTTTTCTGCTACTTGCTTTCACACTGCTTCAAAAGACTGTTTTTATAAATTTCTATGATCTACAATGCTATAGGTAGTCCTGGAGGTTTTGTAGGGAACATAACTGAAGTTTTATTAGCTGAATACAATATAGTTAGACACACACAAATTATAGGATCAATCTGTGAAAGACTGCCAAGCCTTACAAGAACAGGGACAGGGGGTGTGCACGGCACGGGGGTTTAAATCAGCCCTAAATTGAAGCGGTGTTTTTTAAAATCTACTGCAATCATTTAGGGGCCCCCTTTTTGTCTACACATGCCACAAGAAAGTAAGCTGACTCTGTTGCAATTAAGAAAGCAGTATTTTTTGCTTAAAGCCATAGTTTCACAGTTCCTCCCAGCCTTAGGTTACATAGGAACCCCACAACAATTTGGAATGAGGGTGCATTTTCACTGTTCTTCTACAAAATGTAGCTTTGATGCATCCTAAATTTTAGATTTATACAAATAGTTTAAACCAGATCCACAGCCTTAAACATTATTCTTTAGAATCTAATTAAATGACCCAACCTACCTCACAGGGTGGTGCTGGGAATTAGGCACATGTACAATGTTTTGAAGCTAATATTCTGAACTTATGGGACCTGTGTAGCACTGTTGTGTGTGCATGCGCTAGCTCGGTATCATTAACCTGGGAACGTATCATTAGGAACAGGTAGAGCAGTTTTCAGAGCAATGACGGATTGTTAAATTTTTTTTTTTTTTTTTTTAAACCAGGTTTGGAACAGAGGTTGCTTCCAGGCAGCACAATCTTTTTGGGGGCTAAGTAGCTGCCTTTCCCATTTCCAAAACAATTTTGATTAATTTGAAAAGGAAACGTTAATGTTTTAAGGAAGATAAATCACCCTAGGTCCATCTCATAAATCATTGCGGGCATGTCTTTCCTCTTTCACATCTCCATGTTAGCTATGCTTCATGCTTCAGTGAAAAGACACCCTGTCAAGCAGGGGATAGAGCAAGACTTCACAGAAGCAGAGAATGAACAAAGAGGGGATTTCTCCCCTTACTGGAAAGGAAGTGAGAGAGAGAGAGAGAGAAAAACACACACACACACACACACACACACACATACACACACAGAGTGAAAAAGAGAGAAAGTGGGTGCGTAAGTGAGTGTGTGTGGTGAAAGAGGAGAATATGTTGCAGTGCTTTTTTTTGGTTTGAAGTGTTTGATTTCCAAATATATATTCATCTGTATTTCAATAAACTGCCTCCCCTTTCATCCTAGGCTCACATGCATTGAAATTGTCACTACATCACCCAAAATGACCTGGTGAGAAAAGCATGAATTCCACTTACGCTACTGCACAACCTCTGCCAATTGTTACATTCATAAATATCTTTGGTTTAGACACAGTACTTCGAAACACCACTCAAGGAACACTTTAAACGGTGTGCATCCCCTTTAGTAGCTGATCCACATAAAAGACAACAACCTACTACCATGACTAGCATAGCTGCTCATCTGATTCAAATGACCAGATTAAAAACCTGCTGATGCCCCATCGTGGCAGTCACACACCAAGGCCCAACCCGGCCTTGTCATCTCAGCAACCTGTGCTGCACTATGGAATACAGCTGGTTTGGGAATGCACTTGACCCAAAGCAAAAGTCACCCAATCATTCGGACACCCCCCAAAAAAGTTAGCTGTGATACACGCCAGATTCAGGCCTGTACTCCCTTTTGCAGTTCAGCCTCAATGGTGGACTCAAGTATGAAGGACTGGAATTGACTTCCCAATCTTACCATTGGCACTTCAGCATCCCCCAGCAACCAGAACTAGCCTTCTTGCAACTGTCAAATCTCCTTGACATCATCAAGAGGGCTCTTGTGGGGTCCAAAATGCCATGGATGCTGGATTTCCTAAATGTACCCCTAACACGTTTAGGAAATGCTTTAGCACTGGCTCACTGACACTGCTGAGTAGTTAAAAACCTTTGCAGTAGCTCAGTCACACAGGTATGGACAAGGGGAAAGAAGCAAAGGCAGACAGAACTGCAAATGGACCAGAACTTGCTTTGTCATCTGACTTCAAAGTGGGCAAAATTTACTATGATGTGCACCCATGTAATCGCAGCGTTGGAAACCTCATATGAGGAACTAGCAAGTTGTGCAAAAAAAAGCAACAAGTCGTTATTATACGCTGTATAAATGCCATCTTCAATGTTATTTCTTTCCACTGCAAAATACTGAAGGAAGATACTAATACGTACAAAATCTATGAGACCCAAAGTAAAAAAGAAAGGAGATGCTTGTGGAGAAGTGAAACTGCCTGATGAAGACATACTTTTACTCAGTGGGATACTACATTTCACCCAATCAAAAACAGATGAAAATGAATAGGTGTTTTTTTTCTAGGAACAACAGATAAGAAAACTGCAGGCATATTTTAGATGGAGAAAAACAAATCTCTACTGTAGGATCCAAAGTTGTAGTTTGAGCCAGGGTTTCTGGTGGCTTCACGAGCACACTTGGGACATAAATACAACTCAAAATACCCAAAGGCAAAAATACATCCACAAACTATGCACCGTTCATCGTAAAAAAAATTTTTTAAAGTTTAATGCCATTTAGAAAAAACCTCCTACAATCTCAGATACTTAAAATGAAATGTAACATGAATACATAATCAGTTATGTCCCTGACTTTCTTATCACTGATCTGTACATTTCTCCCAGGCTTTCAAATAAACAAGCTAATTCAGGAGAAGTTTAAGGAAGCTTGACTTCTGATAACACCCGATAGGATATACTAGAATAAAACCATTCTGTTCATGACCTCTATCCCCATAGGGTATTATTTATAATATACGCTCCAAGAAAAACAAGGTTAACAGCCTGAAGCTTCAACTGTGGCATCAAACCCTTCTCCCCTTTCAGCTTCCGTAAACTGGGCCAGGCTGGCACTTACAGGAAGGTGTGTGAACACGGCAAAGGTGCTGCGCAGGAAGGCAATCAGATCTATAAGATAATCGCTGGCTCTGCTGCCTGGTTCTGCTGCCATCCAATCATAATCCACCAGCTGCAAGAATTGGTCAATCTTCTGGTTCAGATTGGTGTAGATCTCTTCCTCTGCAGCATGGCGGGCATCCTAGAAAACATGAGAAAAAGACTGTGGAATATGGTCCGAAAGGAAGTCATGCCTCCTAGCCTAGGCAGTATGCGTGATACTAAGGTATACTGCAAAAAGGTTGCATTCTTTGCTTGTTCTTCATTAGCTTCCTTTTCCATCCTGTGTGTTGTGTACTAGAGCTCCCTTTTCTCCATCGATCAAGCCAGAAATGCCTGGTGTAAGAGGTTGATCTAAGCCCGCTGAATTCATAGAACATTAACTCTTTCTGAAGGGTCAGACCCTTCTCTCTCCCTTCTTAAACCTCACTTACTCCCCATGATTTTCTATCTATAAAATATCATAGTTTCATAGTTTCTAGGGTCGGAACGGACCTGAGCAGATCGAGTCCGAGCCCCTGCCATGGCAGGAAGAGCACTGGGGTCAAACGACCCCAGCAAGGTGTTCATCTAGCCTCCAATTAATATCAATCAATTGGAGCTTCCGATTAAGTTTTTCCCAAGAAAAAGATTTAGCCATACAGCTCCCATGAAAATGAATGCATTTTGTTGTTAAATTCCTTGCCATCACAGGAATTTTGCTTCAAACAGAGTCAGCACTAAGACGGTAGGCTGGCATTGTCAGCACTACTTAAAACAGTAAGCAGGCCAATACAAATCCCTTCCTTCCATCAAAAAAATTGATAACTTGTCACCTGAACTACACAGCAGTCTCTTGCCCCATCTCACTCCTACAATTTTACCATCCCTCCTTCTCATAGTCTTATTAGAGCATCGTTCATATCCCATGTCATCGAGTGAAGTCCTGTTGTCTCCTTCTGCCTATGGCATCTCTCTGCTCGTTACAAGCTGCTACCCAGAAGAGACGAACTTGCACATTTCCAAAAATTGCTATGAAGTAGTCGCACTCTCTTGTTCACTTGTGCTTGCGTTCTTTTTGGGAGGTAGTGTTTTCTACTATTTGCTTGTGTGAGGAACTCACTGGTAGATGCATTGATGGTGGCTGCTATAATGCCCTGTTAGTGATATACACAGTGGCCTGGAGAGAGATGTTGGTAAGGTAGTTTGGTGGTATTCAGATGCCATGTCAAAAAGTAACTTCAGTACACTCAGGGCACAAACTAAGGAGCAAGTACACATAAAACTACCTTTTGGAACACAGTCATATATACCATGCCTTATTTCTCATTGGTTTTCCTGGCTGCTTTGCTTCTGCTGGGTGATAAGCACCAGCAATTGCATGTCTTTTTAAAAAATTCCGATTTAAAACAGTTCAAGAGAAAAAGCATGTTGAAAGGACAACGCAGATTAAGAGATGCTCAGAATTTCTGCATCCATGTTGTTAAAGATATTTCATACAATAAGAATCTGTGGAGCATGAACAACAGCTTATCCCCCACAAATCATAATCTACAAGAAAAGCAAAGGATATTTCTCACCTTGAATGTGGTGGTCCCATACAGTTTGGTCGTGTGGACCGTCTCTGGGAGTACATTGGTGATATTGGTTATGAATTCCTCTAGGAACCGGCAGGATTTCTCCAAATGGGTTGTATTAATGATAATTTGCACAAGCTGTAAAGGAAAAGGAATATGTTCAGATGCATCTCGTGTTCTAAAAGTCAGGTCATGTCAAATGAACAAATACCAATTTATAAGGGGCTTTTGTTACTTTTGACACTGTCAAAACACACTATGCCCTGCTGAAGGCTAAAGGAGGATTGCCCTGTCTTAGCAACATATGAAACTTAAGAGAGATCACACTTGGGAAAGTGTTAACGTCACAAGGATTTTATGAATTTTGTGAATTCAGCTGTCAATCATTGCTCCTTTCAGGGCACTTCAGACACCCTCAAAATGCAACAAGGTTAGGCAAGGTACCAAAATCTGACCAGAAGCATAACCCTAAATAACCTGTATTTCTGAGTGACAGCCAACAATATCACACAAGGGCATTTAAAAATGATACCAGCAAACTGTCTGTGGTTACCATGAACTGGTTTTACTTCACTACAGGTGGTATGTGCTACAGCATTCCTCGTGCTCCTGTCTTCGAGCATACCACGCCTAACTTTTGTGGCTTTATTTATCTTTTGTTTTCGCTGCTTCCTTCATGAAGTGAGCAAGTGGCATGTAGACAGGACAATAGCTTGTGACATTACAGATAACTACAAAGCAAACACTCAGCTGGAGTTGATTCAAGTCAAGTGTTTCAAGTCCAGGGCAAGACAGTCCATGCTTCTGCTAGGGAACAACTTATTTAGCTACTGATTCAGATTACTAATTTCTCCAGCAGGAACCCTGTCTTCTTGCAAATCACCTTGCATGCTATGGGTATAAGACAAACAAGAGAATAGCTTCAAGCAAGACACTTAATCTCCATGTGGCACTAAACACTAAAATGTCCTCAGATTGTGGGGCTGATTGATGGATTAGACTACTTGCAAAGGGAACCACACTTAAGGCACTGGGAGAGAGAGACCAAATACATCAGTGGTATGCTGTCACATGCAGCATGAGATCTCCCATAAATACCACCCAGAGCGAAGTCCCCCTGACAATATCTTTCCTACAATTTATAGGATTCGTACAGAACATAAATTCTTTATGTCTGTAACCATCGAGTTTACCATTCCAAGCATACAAATCCAACCCCCAGTTACTGAATACCGATGTGGACATGGGCTGAGCTAGGATTTTGAAAACTGGGGTGCAGATGGTGAGGTGCATCATCACATATAAAAAACCATCTTTTCCTCCAGTTAAAAAGCTGGAAGCTTTAATCTGCTAGGGGCCTAGGGCTATATTTTTCAGTTTAAGGTGGAAGCAAAAACAAATATAACTTTACTGGAATAAGTTCAATACAGTCCACAGGACTGTGAAATGCGAGCGATGTTACCAGGAGCGACTAGCAGGCCACAGAATTGCAGAAGAAAGGATAGTTTGATTAGTGGAACATGAAGACCATTCAAAAAGGAAAGAGTCATTAACAACCAAGAAACAAAGCAATTAGAAGGAATCAGATAGATTATAATGAGCTACAAAGCTAAACGAGTCCCTCATTGCTGCCTAAATAGAAATGCTGCTGTCACTACCAGGTGGTTGGGTTTTAAACTTTGGGTAGAGCAGAAATCAAAGGGGAGAGGGGTCTAAGTGCATTCCCTAGATCCACCCCAGAAGTGATCGCATTTATGTTCATAAATGAACAATTTTAGTTCCTCTCATCTAATCCTCAGGCTCCTACCAGTGGTATAGAGGCAATTAAACTACTCTACTCATAGACAGCATGCCCCAAAATAAGATACACACCTGGTTTTTGAAAGGCAAAATGAAGGAAAGAAAGAAGGTCTTTTCTTGGAGTAAATGAGTTTCTCGCATTTACCTGGGGAGCTGACCCTGCTTATTGCTTTGCTTCCTGTGGATCGCATACAGACTTTACTCTCTTTTGTCCAGTAATGGAAGAAACCCCTCTATCATATTTCCTCACAGATAATAAACATTTTTTGGGAAAAGATGCAATGCTATATACAAGAAAAGGTGGTACTTCTCTGCACATTCCTCAGCACGCTGGTTCTCGTAATCTCGATTCTGGGCTTGATGAGTGCTCAATCATTTCCCTTTTTCGATTTCTGCATGTCGTTTTTATAATGCCCTCCTGATTTGGCTTGCGAGCTTGTCCCTTGGAAGACTGATTCCCCTTCCAAAACTAAATACCCCCTCCCAGAAGTGGACCAATGCTCCACATAACCAAAACCAGCTTTCATCACTTGCCTAGCTAGGGGTTTCCATTTCCTGCCTAGCTGGGGGTTCCTCTTCTGTCTGTCTCAAGGCACCAGGCTGAAGGATGTCCAAAACAAACTGCACATACCTTTTCAGCACCCTTCTTGGCTGCCCTACATCCCAATAGCCTGAAGCATCCTGAAAGGGAGTGCCATTAGTGTGAAAAGGCAGGAAAGGTTCTTTGAGTCCTTTTATTAGATAAAAGATATCACATTTACTCAAAGAACCTTGCCTACCTGTATCCTTAGACCAATGAGGCTACCAGCAAAAACCCAGCATTAATGTAAATGCCCAACATCATCCCAAGATCCTTGCTCAGGCTTCAAAAGCCTGCCCAGTTTCAACTCGTGCCATGGTGCCTGAATGATAGAGGACACTTTCCCACCTACCCCTTGCACAAATTTTTCAGACACATTTTCTGCAGTTGACATGCCTAGAACCTGCTAACTAGCTGTGCAAAACTCCTCTCGGCCTTCCCGTCTGTACTAGCCATAGTCTGCCCATGCCAGCCACCTCCAACCCCACATGCCAACTGGTTCTCTTGCCACAAACCAGTATCAACTGTTTAAACTCTCTCTGGCTCCTTGGTACTTGATTCCTTTCCTTCTCGACTCTGGGGTACAATGCTTCTGCACCCAGCCACCCAAACAACTGGGAATTTTTTTTCCTTCTCCTGCAACCCCCCTGTGCCACCACTGCATTAGTTTTGACCCTGTCTTCCTCATTAATGGCTATGCCATACTACTGTCTCTCTGGATGGGAGACTGGGATGCATCTAGCTTAAGATGTGATGTGCAAATTAGTAGATGGGAAAATTCATTGTCCCTGCTGCAACACGCTTAGTATTTAGATGGTGCCGATCTACCAGATCCCACAAGCATCTAGCGAGTTCACATTCAAAGCGTTTCTAGAAAACAAGAACAGTTGCTCATCTCCCAGTAACTGTGCTTCCCCACTTCTGTTGGAGAATTATAGTTACTGTCATAATTAACTATTCAAGTCTTTGTTCATGCGGGGCCTCCTCCTAATGCTTAGCTAGCAGTTCTCAGACTGACATGATGGAGGGCTGAGCAATCATTACAGCTAACTGAATAAGGATTGCAGAACTGCCCTCCTGAGCTTGCCATCTGATCCAATCGCCAGACAGGGCATAAATCCTTAGTAAAAAGTACAGGCTAAGCCTCTAAGTGTGTTCACAGATCTTATCTATAGGAAGACTTCTGCGGATGTTGCCTGAGCTCTGCCTGAGCAGGGGCATTTGTTATCTGCTACCTGGTCACAAATTCTAATCCACAAGGATAATATTTGGGAAGAGAAAGCTTGACCTTTCATGGCCTTCTCTCATAGCACAAAAAAAATGGATGATTTCCTGAAAGGATTTTTTAATTCTGTCTAAAGGAAGGCTCCTAGGCTTGAATGCTTTGGGGGAAAAAACAGAAGTTGGTGGTCTACTTTAAAGGAATATTCAGCAACCACTTTTGCAGGAAAGCCAGAGTGAGGTTTTAGGACTGCCATGCCCCTGTGAAAAACTAGCATCAGGTGATGTGCCATGGATGCTTAGATCTTGCCAACTGTCAGAGTTAAGATAACAGCAGCTAGGAGAGTCTGTTGATGGATGAAGCACTTCCACAAGAATCCCAAAGGAGAAGATTTTTTATATATACACTAGACAGAGAGAGAGAGAGAGAGAGAGAGCACTATCTATATTTCTCTACCTAATCAGTGGACAGATGTGGACCAAACTTCAGAAAACTGTAAAGTGTAAAATGCAAGAACAGCATAGAAAGCTTGCACTGGAGGTAGCAAGCCAAGTCCTGTATCTTGAAACGACAGATATAGCTGGGGGAGAAAACTTGGAGACGCAGGTGTCTATAGGGTTGTCACTATGTTAAGGATACTCCCAAGCCATGTGCTCTGCCCACTTTCCAGTCTCTTGTGTGCTCAAGGAGGAGCAATGTTTGTGTCAACAGCAGACTCAGGGTGAGGAGGGAAGCTGAGGACATAGCCTTAAGCGACACATGAGCATACAAGGTTTTAACCCTTGATCTGGCTCTAAGAAACACATTGAGAATGTGTAAAAAGGACTTCAACAGCCTCAAATGAGATCAGCAAGCTTCTCCTTTTAGGATCACAGGCCAATGTCTCCCCCCGCACAAGAGAGCTCAAACAATCGATTTTTGGTTGCAAGGTCTCATCTTACTTGCTCATGACTAAATTGGAAAGGAAAGTTACTCATTTAGGCCAGTTTTAAAATTTAAAAGTAGAAATGTGCTGCTGAAACTGTACATTTGTAAGCAATGTGGAGCCGGATGGAGAAGCTAGGCTTAATCATATGAAAAGAGCTCGAAAGCAAAACACTGTGGGCAGGCACCTCCTGACAAATTAGACCTTTGTTTTAAACTGGAGTCTGAAATGTCATGACCTGTCGGCATTTCCTGCAGGATCCTTCTTCAGCTCCAGAGCAGCAGCGCCAACGCAGCTGAACAAACCCTCCACCTCCACACTCTCCTTAGCCCATTATTTTCTTCTTCTAGCATCACCTTCCCTCCCAGAGTGAAACAAACACTGAATCAGGCTTATACTAAAAAGTAGGGCTGACCAGCTACCATGGTAAATTATGAAGTTATTAAGAGCCATTCACAAAGTTACTAAGAATTTGATTCTTTCTGTATACTCCATGGATTATTTCTAAAATGGGTAGAACAGGGTAGCGATGTCATTGCATTGCTTACTGCCAAGGATCCCCAAGAGGACAGGGGAAAGAAAAGAAATATGCCACCCAAGAACAAATGTACTCTGAAGACTCCATCTATTGACTCCTCTGTGAAATCCTTGGAAATATGAACTTTCACTTCTACCCAGAGAACTTTTACAATCTTTTCTCCAATGTCTGGTTTGTGCTTGAAAGCTTGCAATTGAAGAATTTTTTTTTTTTTTTTTGCAAAAATCTAGATGGTCTAATAAAAGATATCACCTCTACTACGAGTCCCAATTGCTTTTTCCTTTAAACCAATACAGCTACAACCTGGATATGTCACAGTCTGAAGAGCAGGACAGGGTTGCATCCCAGTTGGAAACTAGAAGATACCTACATGGGAGGGCTTGACGTGTTGCAGTTCACATCTTGAATATATAAATGTTCCTAAAACACTAACAACTTTCAAGGCAAAGCAAGTTACAGCTTTCTCTTTTGCTCTGTTTCTATTAATTTTGCCTTTTACTGTAAGCTGCCCTGAGCCTTTCATGGGAAGGCCAGCACAGAACTCAATTAAATAAAAGCAAATGTTGATCAGGTCTCATCTTAGTATCCACAATCAGTAATTATACTGATATTAGTACTACTAGCATGGATATTACAGAAGCGCACATTGTCTCTGATTATGAAGTCCACTGGCCTAGGTATGGTACACATGTGTATGCAGCTTATAAATCTACAAGCGTTCAACTGATTTAACTTCTCAAAAAGTAACCTGCGAACAACACGTGCCAACACGAAAATTGTTGGCTCACGACCACTTTGAAAAACTGTCAAGAATGGAGTCTTTCATATAGGAAGTTACTTCTACATCCCTGGACAGGAAATAATTTCTGAGACAAGGACGGTGTTTTAAGGTCCATGTTACTATACCACCTAACCCAATGTCGTTCTGATCACACGCTACAATGCCAACTGGCTGCCTGAATATAAATGCTAGTCTTTTTTTTTAACCTTATTTGAATTTATCATTGCCATATGTTCCTTGTTACACTAACTAGCTGAGAACTGAGCAAAGATATTCTCTCCCCACGCACAAAGCTCAGCAACACTACAGAGTTTCCTCATAGGATTTAAAAGGTGAACACTTGACAGCAACACCAATGCTGCACCATTAACAAGGCACTCTCAGTGAGCTGTGAAGTCCATACAAAGATCACATAACCTGAAACATGATGAGAGGATTTTCCTGCTGGAAGGAAAATGCTTACCTCCGTCAGCCCTATGTTTCTCCTCTTAATAACAGTTTGTAAACAGTTGCTGAGTGTTCGAGTCAGGAGCAAGTTGGTGGATTTTCTAATCATGTCGTCAACCTCGGTGGAGCTGGAAAGCAGAATTGAAAGAAAATGATTTGCAAAATGCTTTAAATCCAGGAGAAGGAGGTCCCAGGTCACCTCTACCCAGTATAAGGCCACCTCAAAACCTTTAGCACCTTCATTCTCATAATTGCCCCTGCGATGGAGGAAAGTGCCATCATCGGCCCTGCCTTCCAGGAGAGCGAGTGACATACCCAGCGTCCGCGTCAAGGAGGAAGGACCTGAAATCGTCTCCTGAATCCCAAGCTAACACCTTGAACTGACCACCCTTCTATTTTAGATCCCAGTATCCAGAGGTACCATTACATGCAGGTCCCACCCCCTTCAAACTGGAGCCATGGAAACTAGGCACTTCTGTGAATCAACCCCACAGGCCCTGTGCCTGTTTTACAGTAGTGCTACATACATGTATTTTTATACTGTGACAAATCAGATTTGGGAAGATCCCTCAGCCTGAACAGCTGTTTATACAAGCAATAAATGCAGAAGTGCAGTGCTGTCTGCTAGGCTGATTTTCAATGCTCTGCCTGCCAAAAGCCCCCCTGCACCCAAGTGCAGCAGTGTCCCAGTGCGTGGTTAGAAGAAGGTCCACAGAGCTGGCCCAGGTCTCCCCACTGGGGTTAGTGCTCCCCCTCCTCTCCTCCATGCATACCGAGGCAGTGTGGAGTAGAGCAAACCTGCGGAGGAACCTACCATGAGGAGGGAAGGTCCTGAAGCGGAAGAAGGAGCCTAAGGAGGAAGCTGCCCCCTGCCCTCTGCTGTGATCTGCAGAAGAGGGTGTGGGAGGTTAACAGTGCCCCTCACCCAGCATTAACTCGCTGGTGTGCACTTTTCCAAGCCAAAAAGCATAGCAACCACTGGCAAGGCAATGCCTGGTTCTTGCCATGGCAGGGCAGGAAGGACTCCAGTCCCACCGAGAGCACACAGCTCTCCAATTTTACTGGGACAGATCTCGGAGATAACCATCCTCGAACGTCCCAGGGCAGAGGCAGGCAAAGTCCAGCCCACAGGCTGGTTCCAGCCAGCAGCCTCTGCCCACGCAGCTGGGGCCAGTTTCCATAGAGACTCCAGCAGCAGCCATACTAAGATGGCACAGGGCTGGGGTTTCCGTGGAGACCAACCGGAGCCATGCTGGCAGGGCACATGGCAGGGCAGGGAGCTGCTCCGGGGCTAGGTTGGGACCCAGCAGCCTGCATGCTCCAAGCAGGGGCGTGCAGGCAGAGGATCATGGCTCTGGATCACGCTATCATCGTTGCAAGGAGCCGAGGCAGAGCCACGAACCGCTGCCTGCACGGAGCATGCAGGCTGCAGCTCTGCCCTGGCTCTGGACCACACCATCACTGCCGCAAGATCCCAGCCCGGCTCTGGAGCAGCTCTGCGCCCTGCCACACACCCTGCCAGCACTGCTGGGGCCGGTCTCCATGGAAACTCTGACCCCGCCTTATCACAGCACACTGCTGCTGGGGTCTCCATGGAAACCAGCCCCAGCCATGCAGGCAGGGGCTGCTGGGAAATGGAGTCCGTCCGCCAGCTGGAGCCACCACTGTGCCTTGGCATGCCACAGGCCACCAGGCAGAGGACAGTGAAGCAGCTTTGGGGAGGGACCCCTTCCTCCAACTGAGCTGCAGAAGCCTTCCCAGTACTTCATCAACCTCTCCATGGGCCAACCCTTTGGTATTAATTGGCATTACAAAGGCAGATGCAGCCACACAGCAGTAATGGGAATGCTAGCTCTTCAGCTGCATGTAATCCTCCACCACGCATCCCAAGAACCACACTGGTGTAGCACCAGGAGACAGAATTACACTGGCTTTCAAGCTAACTGGGGGACAGAGGCCTGAATATCAGTCACACATGTACAAATGCACATGTTTACAGCTGCCAATTCTTGCATGCGCCGATACCTACCACGCTAATAGAAGTTGGAGTTTTTCACACACGTGGACTTGGTATGCAAACAGCAAGGTGCATCCGCACACAAGCAGAGCAACACTGCTATCTCATCATCATGCTGCATTGACAGCTCTACTGAAAACAGCCCCAAGCTGCTACACTTCTATTACCATAACTGATCTTTTCCTTCAAGCAACTGAGAGCTCCACCTGGTCCTAAAGGTCCCATTTCAAACCTGGTTGATTCAGCCAAAAAAACAGGGGGCAGACCTTCAAAGTAAGCATTTGTGCACGTAATGTCCCCTCTTCCCCATCATGGATTACCAGTCTCCTACAACTGAGAACATGCAATCCTCTGACAAAGCTTTAATAGTAGGGGAGTCAGCACTGCCTGGATTTTGGGAAGGGATGTTTGGGGTTTAAAAAGGTTCTTTTCTCCATTCATTAAAAAGCTAAATCGAGGCCATTTAAAGAGGCCACCTTTGCAGGTCACCTAAAGTACTGCTAGGGAAGCTCCTCTGGCCAGCAGCCCTGCCCTCTCCTCCCAGTTAGGTGCAATCCTTTCTTTTTGAAGCAGGTTTGGGAAAGCAAGTGAAATGCAGGCTCCTTTGATCTATCGTCAGCAGCGCATTAGGCCTGAAACGACAGAGCCTTTATCTCTGAGAGCAGGATGACAGGCAGCTGGATGGCAAAGAACATTTCAGACTGGAAAGTTCAGAAACATTAATAACTTTAGGGCTCCTGGTAAATCAACCCTGTGACCTTTTGCTCCTTATCCTGTTTTACCTGACAAATGGCGAGATTACAAAGCAGAGAACGATAGGATAAACAAAAGAAAGCCTTCAAGTTATCTCCAGCCACTTGTGTCTGAGGCAGGCTTGCTCTGTGCTTAGCTATCTAGCATGTCAGCTCCCCGAAGCCTGTCCTGGCAGCAGCTTGGCAGGCCCCTTCCCACTCCACAGCTCCCAAACCCACTGATGAGTGCGTGTAGTTGCCCTTACCTCAAGTGGGCTCAGCCACCACACTCCAGGACCTGTGCCCACCCACAGATCACCCCCTTAAATGCCCCTTTACAATTAGGGTCCCAATTCCACCAGACTCTAGGCACTTTAATCTCTTATTTCTGTCAAGGGGAGTAGTCAATGGTCAGCACCCTGCAGGACCTGGCTCTTGACATTTTTAAATGGCCCACGACCAGCTGAAGCCTCACCCTAGGTCCCTCTGGCCCCAGTGGTAGGGCTGCTCTTTCTTGACCTTCCTTAGCTGAAGATGGTGCTTTTTGTTAGTGTGGGATGGTGCCTCTCAGACATTGCTTGATCTCTTTGGGCTAGTTCTTTACATGGCTTCTAGCATATTGTATTTTGAGTTTGAGCTGGGCCATAAACTACAGCCCAAGGAGCTGGTATCTGGACATCAGGCTCTTGGCTCAGGCCCACCTCTGGCTGGATGCTCCATTCTTGACATCCAGCGGTGGCTTATTTCTAAAGCTCTCCCCATCTCCCCTCCCTCACCCACCCTGCTCAGAGTTACTTATTGCCAACAAAGCAATAAAAAGGTTAAATACAGCCAAAGCATGAAAGAAGCCAGACCTGTGAAAATTCACAGCCGGTAAAAGCAAACCAAGGGTGTAAAAGACACTGCTGCCAATGGGAGTGAGGCATCCCTGCTCCTTTGATCCCAAAGTTTCACTTTGCCCTAGAAGAGCTGGAGCAGCACAGGGACAGCAAGCATGGGGAAGATGTGGGGATGGAGCCTGCAGAGACGAATGGTGAGAAAAGGAAGATGCACATTCAAAATGAAAAGAAAGCAGGTCTGTTATATGCATGAACAAAAATGAAGTCTGCAGCAGGTCCCGACAACCAGAAGCCCTTTTGTCCTGCTGGTGAATGATATAAGGCAATCACGAGATCATCCTCTCAAGCTTTTTAGGTCGGCTTAAGCATAGAAGGCATTTTAGACTCCTACAAGAGTGGTCACTCCAGAGACCGGAGAGCAGCAAATCTCAATCAGGATGCTGCGGCATTGGGGTGCCATGAGATGCTTAGGCGTGCTGCAGGGTGGTTATGTAATGTTAGCACAGTTTGGTGTGCAAATACATACACGTGACTCTCAAAAACCCAGAGATTCATAGATTCATGACAGCCCTGAGAAATGCCAGTTCAAAACTTTCACTCATTTTTGGACTATGGAAAAATACTAGAGCAGGAGTTGGCAGCATATGGCCTTGTTGAGCCCCTGGATGCAACCCAGAGCCCAAGAGCTTTGGCTATGCCCATGACCAGCTAAGCTGTGAGATGGTGTGCCAGGGCTGGGCAACTTCCAGCTGCATCCTACTTCTCCCCCCTGCAACCTCTCCCCAGATGCAGCATGGGTCCAGCTTCCAGACTCCAGGAGCTGCACTGGGACTTGGCGGCTGGAAGCTATGTCCACACAGCTGCTGCTTCTCCTACCCTTTCCCCCACCTCCCAGTTGCACTATGGAAGTGGCAGCAGCGTGGATGTGGCTTCCGGCTGCCCAGCCCCGGCACAGCTCCCCACTGGCTGGGATCTGCATGCATGCCCCAGACCTCAGAAACAAATGCTTCTGGCAGAACAGGAAAAGCTGATGGTATGTGGATGCTCCTCTGGTGCAGATGGTGCTTTCTGCAGAAGGTTATTACACCACCCTCCTCATGCCGCCTGGAATAAAAGGCAGAACACTCCGAAAATGGAGGGTTTACTTTAGACTTTAACTTCACCCTTAAAATCACCAACAACATTTTAACTATAACAGCGATGAACCACTGATGCTTAATGACAATGCTCAATGTTGCCAGTGTTTTAGAGCTTCAAAGGGCTTTCTTTTTCAGCTCCCTGACATTATGCTGTCTGGCTCCAGACTCTCCTTTAATGCATGAATACATCAATTTGCGACACAAATAAGGTAAGTGATGGGTTTCCATATGGAGAATGGCATCATTTCCAAAGGCTTTTAAGTGTTGCTTTCTTAGTAAGCAACGTGACCCACCGTGTTTTCCAGGCAGAAAATCAGCTTCCCCACTTAAGACGTGCACTGCGGTTTTGGGGGCTAACGTGCACTATGCAAGTAAATACGATATTCAAGTATTTCACTTTTAGTTCTGTTTGGATAAAGGTGCTAGGTGACCACTGGGCAAGTCGACTAGGGATGTATATACGAGACATACACAGAATAGCCATTCGCACAGCCCGCACAGGCATATACGTCAGACTCCAAGGTGGGTTTATCCACAAAACAGGTAAAATGCATGCAGGATTCCTCACACTGCCCAACCAGAGGCTTTAGTCATGACCTCCAGGTAGACCTAGACTGTAGGGACAAGTCAGGAGCCCAGGTCTCTCTGACTGATTTGGTGCTGAGTCACGATGAGAAGACTTGCTGACAAAGAGCCAATGCCCATTCGTGGGTCCTGGTTACTTTTGTGACACGGAGTGGACAGGGAGAACAGATCTCAGTCCACACAAGTCAACAATTAGTTGGTAGCAACCTCTGGTCACCGTGGACCTGGGTACTCAGTAGACATTCCTGAATTAGAGCATCTACTGTTAATTCTCTCAAGTCACCAAGAATGAAAAGATTTCCCTCACTTCCTCTCATTCCCTGGAGTAGGACCATGGTATTTATATTTACTATATTAAAGATTTTTAACCTTTGGTCTCATCTGAATCCCAGCTACAGCTTGTTTGAGGCTCTTTATAGCCGTGCCAATCACTGCAGTATCAATCCTTTTGTTCTCCCCTTTCCAGCAATACAATATGCTGACTTCTAACGCATACCTGAAAAAAAATCAATTTAGAGACTGAGAAGCAGGATTTCCAAAAAAAGGAATTCTGGGCCGAATCAAGCCGTGGTATAAAGACCGACTATTTCTTGTACTGCAGATCCTTGAAGTTAACTTCTGCAATCACTTATACATGCATAACAGATTTCAATGGGCCGACACATGCGAGTAAATTCACCATTGCTTAAAAATGGAATTTCAAATGATTTAGGTGCACAAGCTTCACTGACTCCAGTGACTTGCACTTCTAAACTTCTTTGGCACCAAAAAAATCTGTACTTAAGTTTTTGCAGAGATTGGGCCTTACATTTGTAAGATCAAAGTGCTGTTAGACATAGAATTGACACATTTAATTTTCCACCTACTGATTCCAAGAGGAATATCTTCAAAATGAGAAATTCCTCTGGAGCTGGTGGAATCCTTCCAACAAGTGGAAATTTTCAAGGGGAGCTACTTGGGAGGAAACTTCAGGATGCATCTTATAAAAACTTGTTCCAAGGAAGAAATACTTAAAAACTGAGGGGGTTTTTAAAATCAAATTAGTCAAGGAAAATAAAAAAAAAAAATGTGCATGTGTGCACACATACAGACACACTGTTTAAAACAAGAATTTATTTTAAATACTTTAAACATCTTTCATAATCACGTCAACATAAAAGGAGAATATTTCTATCCAACAAATACAAGGAGCTGCTTTAAAATAATAACTTAAAAAAATATGAGCCATGTTTTCTGCCGTAGGGCCTATTCTTCAGGAAAAGACTGTAGAGTATTTAAGAGAACTGTCTGTATTAATGACAGCTGATGTCCCATATCCCATAGCAGTAGCCATGACCTTCATGCCTACTGTGATTGACAGCCTGACCCCAATCACTCCAGGGTGCAAGGTAAATGACAACCAAGGAAGAAAAAGAAAGAGAAAGAAAGAAAACTTGCTGCCGGCTTTGTAGCCAAACTTCCTAATAAAAACTAATTCAAACTGTCAGGATGAAATGAAGAAAGTGTCAACAGGGGTTTTCAGAGAAATATTCGGTACGTTTGGCTGGAAAAACCCAACAGCTCGGCTCCCTCCCCCCGACCTACCCCAACTCACCTCTCCAAAAAAAGGCTGAAAAATCCAATGTTGAAAGGAATGTTAATAACTTGTCCATGGGGAAGCCCCGAGGTGGGACCCAGGAGAACACTTTTCTTCCATTCTCTGACAAACCTAATCATCTCTGTAATGGTTAAAAGCATAAAGCTCTTAGCTGCGCTCCAAGACAAGCACGGCTGGAGGAGCGAGATGAATCTGACATCTCTATGAAACGGAACCATCTCGCAGAAAGAGCAGAGGGCAAGGTGGCTTCGGAAGCCAAAATATTTAATGGCGAACCACGGGGTAAGACCCTAGGGGCCCACCAGTGAGTATACCCTGCCATCCACTCCAGGATGATTAAATGCCAGTACTGACAGTGAGAACCCTCCCCCTGGATCTTAGCTTCCATGGCAGGAAAAAAGTGGACTTCTCCAACAGCTTCCCTGGTCAGCAAGGAAAGCAAATCAATGCCTACAAAGCATTTTGCACGCTCTGGGAAAACTAAGACACAGGCACCCCAGAGTCCCGTGACTGCAACACCTAATATCAGACCCACTGATACGCTATCCAGCCTCCAGCTACAGTCAATAGCTGAAGCTACACAAGGGGAAGACAGCCAAATGCAGCAGAGTGCCTAGCTAGCTGTTCATTGTAGAGACCTAAGGGACGGAGGGCTCCTCCTCTGCATGAAGAGGTCACTACTTGTTAAATCTACAATCAGAGATTTAAAAAGTCCCATCTTGTAATAATTAAATAGTATAATTGTTCTCCAGGCTTATCATACACTTGCACCTTCTTGTGAAAACTGCATCAGGGCACCTGGGCAAGGAGGAAGGCTAGTAAACAATATTTTCTTGCATGCGGCATGCCCAGAATATAAGCATACCCCTGGTTTTTAACAGACATCTTGAAGAAAAATAAAATTCTTGCCTTGTAGTACAGGTAAAGGAACAGAGGTGGTGCACCAGGTCTGGGGCTACATATTGGGTCCACCTCCGCATGCCAGATCCTGGGTCACATGCCAAGTTCAAGGCCATGTGCTGGTCTGACCCTACATACCGGCCGCATCCAACACGCCAAATCCAGCTGCAGCCTCACCCTGTGGGCAGGCCTGATCCAGCATGTGGATCCATGTCATGCAGCAGGATGGGGGCTCCCCAGGGGTCCAGACATTTGGCAGCAGAGGAGTGGCAGTAGCATTAAGGGCCATGGGAGCCAGGGCAATTAATCTGCCACCAATCCTTGCTATCAAATTTCCAGACCACTTGGGATCTGTATTTTCCACATTTAATAAGGACCCCAATTCCCGCCCCCTAGCTGGGTTGGGGGTAGGGAGGTGCATGTTTTATGCAAGAAAATACAGCATTTAGGATTTCTGAAAACCGGATTCAAACCTTGTTTGCTTTATTTATAAAAAACCCAAGGAAAAAAA